TAATTCAAAACTGGCTTTAACTGTGTATTTACTGCTGGTATATTCTTTAAGAAATGTTATTAGAATTCTGAGGATTAATTTCTATAGGTGATAATATTTAATACTATAAATATTCTCGGACATCTTGGTTTATGAATTTTATGAACGTCGCACATACTCTCTGCATGGAATTCAATCGGATGTCATCGGTTGAAGCACTTTCTGATGTGATAATGGAGTTTACTGTATTTGTAAGATATGTCTGTTTTACTTATTTTTCCATGTGAAAGCAGGAGCTTTATCTAAGTTAAAGAATTACTTTTGTTTATGCATTATGTGATTTACTTTAGAAATAGTGTGATAAAAAGGCAAGTGTTAGAACCATATTTTTGTCTTTTATAACACGTAATATCAAAGCTGATCCACAAGTTACAGTTTCTGTTTTAAAATTATTGATATGTGTTATACGGATTTGTAATGCTATCATGTAGTTTTGTTCAACTATGTATGGTCAACTTGATGAAAACGAAACAGATATCGTTTACATACTTAATTTATTCCACACTGCACTACTTCGCTACTCCAAGTCTGATCAGTCAGATTCACCAATTATAGTCCAAGACAGACTTTTGGAATTAGTTACATAATTATTCAGTTATATAGCCAAATTTCTAAACAAACTATTGGGATAGTAACGGATTACCTCTAGCTAACCTGGAACAACATCTTCGTATGGTAAATGAAGGATAAGGTTATGATCGATAATCTTATTGCGTTGAAGCTCTACATATATTCTATACCTTTAACAAGATAATTAACAAAGTTTCAAATTCGACGAAGAATCACAAACCAAAAATTCACAAGATTCCAGACACATCTCGATAGTAACAGCAGTTTTCATGAAAAAAGTGGTTAGTGAAATTAGAATCATAACAATACCGTTCCATCTATGAAGTCCAGTTCCAATGAACTTTTCTTTTTGATCTTTTTTTAACAATGTGATGGGAGCTGACATCCAAATACAATGAAAAGTTTGTCCAGGTGTGGGGTATAAGATTAGTCTCGTCGTCCTTCGCCAAACCATTTTGCATAGAAAATTACGTTGCCGACCAATAGTATAGAAGGCTGAGCTCGATCGATGATGGTACAAATAATTCCAAGAGCAGTGATTAGCTCTTAGTATAAGCTTAAAATCATATTCTACTAACATGTTATTACAGTGAACTTTAATCGGTTAGAACTGAACTGATTGTTAGTTGTTATATCATTTTTTGAAGTCAACAAATTTAAATTTATACATAATGCGTTGATAATACTTTAAAATCAATAAATATAATGCGCATAGTCTAGACTTTTATCAATATAATACTCTAAACGTTTCTTTATGTTGCTATATTTATTTCTTAATCCCTTGTAATGGTAAAAACCTACTTCAACTGATTTATTTACTGTTTTTTCACTTTTTAAAATTTTATGATTAGGTGTTTCCATTTAACATTCTGAATAAGTACAACTTATTCAAAGTTAGTATGTTAGTTCTAATGGGCCTGACGTAGTTTAGCATTCAGGATGCAGGGTTGCAAGGTTGAAAAGTCGATCTGAGAAGCAGCTGATCCTGTTTCACACTTTCAAGAATAGATGCGTTTCATGAGTGAAGTCAATTCCGTTATTTGATTCAAAGCCGGACAAAACAATTGTAACGGCGCTTGCTGCTGATTGGCTGCCTTCTTTATGGTTAGGAGTTCAAAATTAGGGACGGCTATATCTAAACCTGAGGGTTTCTGCCCGTTCAGGTTGAAAACACAAAATACATTAGTTTAAGCCTAATAAGGATGAATAAAAGTCATTAAATAGTCCCATATGGTATATATATATATGTTTTTTAAAAAGAAGAAATACTACATTAGAGCGAGAGAACACACCACAATACGATGTAAGATGCTAGATGGGAATCATTCACAAGAGTATAACACAAGAACACTATTACTTTTTCAGCTACTTGTGTGGTAAAAACACATATTTTATGAATAATAATGTATATATCAATAACGAATATCTTTATTTTCTCTCTGTAAGTTTAGGAAATAAGCAATTTAAAACAAAAGTAATTAGAACGTTTAACATAATATTCAGAAACTAATAAGGAAAGACATATTTAGATAGCTACTGCATCTTCATTTCTACTTTACCTTTATTATTCTAGAAGATGAAACTGACTACAGCGAGTTAAGCTATTCCACTATTACTGTTCATCGTTACATTCTCATACATTTATAATGACATTTCAACTTCGTCTAAAGAAAGTCTTAAAACAGTTTAAGCGATGATAAACTAATGGTTAAGACCGATACAGTATTTTTTTTTCTTTCAACTAAAATATCATTCTGAATTTAAATCTATGTTAGAAGAAGTGTAATCAAAACTAAAACCAAAACAAGTACCTTGGCTTATAAGTTTGCCTCTCAGGACGTATTGCTCTAAGCACAGTGTTTGAATGTTAATTAATTTTCTAAAAAAAACGAAAATATAAATTGAATGGACTCGGATCAAATCGGTTGAAAATATTAAGTGTCAGACAAAGACCGATTAATTACGTTCTGATGAAACTAATTCACACGTTAACATTATAACAAAACTTGATGTGATTTTTTATCATGGTGGAGGGACATCTTTGAAAATAAGTTGTAAATCCGGAACAAATAGCCACAAGATGTTTCAATTAGACTAAAGCTATGAATAGAAATTCTACTAATCACGCTAATTAGACTTATATCGTGTGTCCAATGAATATCTCCAGGATCGAAACTCAGAGCACGGTAGAATTAGACAAGTTTATTTGTTTGTTTGATTGTTTACATCAGCGCAAACTACACAATGGACGTTCATCGCTTTGTTACATCAAGTAAATAAGCCCTTAAGCTTACAGCTGAACCACCCGGCGGGGGGAGGGGATTGAAAAGTCTTAATTAAGAGTTTCTTAATAGTAGAATCTAATCCACTCGTTTTAGTATCTTGCTTTGTTTTATAAGTAACGTTATAATTATTGCTTTGTTTTATAAGTAACGATATACTTATTGCTTTGTTTTATAAGTAACAATATACTTATTGCTTTGTTGTATAAGTAACGTTATACTTATTGCTTTGTTTTATAAGTAACGTTATACTTATTGCTTTGTTTTGTAAGTAACTTTATACTTATTGCTTTGTTTTATAAGAAACGTTATACTTATTGCTTTGTTGTATAAGTAACGTTATACTTATTGCTTTGTTTTATAAGTAACGTTATACTTATTGCTTTGTTGTATAAGTAACGTTATACTTATTGCTTTGTTTTGTAAGTAACGTTATACTCATTGCTTTGTTTTATAAGTAACGTTATACTTATTGCTTTGTTTTATAAGTAACGTTATACTTATTGCTTTGTTTTGTAAGTAACGTTATACTTATTGCTTTGTTTTATAAGTAACGTTATACTTATTGCTTTGTTTTATAAGTAACGCTATACTTATTGCTTTGTTGTATAAGTAACGTTATACTTATTGCTTTGTTTTATAAGTAACGTTATACTTATTGCTTTGTTTTATAAGTAACGTTATACTTATTGCTTTGTTTTGTAAGTAAAGTTATACTTATTGCTTTGTTTTATAAGTAACGTTATACTTATTGCTTTGTTGTATAAGTAACGTTATACTTATTGCTTTGTTTTATAAGTAACGTTATACTTTATGTTTTTTTTATAAGTAACGTTATACTTATTGCTTTGTTTTATAAGTAACGTTATACTTATTGCTTTGTTTTGTAAGTAACGTTATATTTATTGCTTTGTTTTATAATTAACGTTATACTTATTCAATAAAGACGTTCACTTAAAACATGTTCACGTGGACATCCCTCATTTTACCGACTTAATTTTTGAAATAGTTCATACGAATTTGTAATCATAACAATTCCATTTGAGTTCATAATTTTGTAGCCTTCAATGACCAAAAATAAAATACCATTGTAGATCAGTCGAGCAGAATTTTTACATGGTCAGTTTGTCAGAAGATATACGCTTTACATGATCACCTCACTAAATAATTACCTAGACCCCCCCAGATCTAGCCTTATTGACTATTATTTCTATTGTATTTATCTATTTGCCAGTTTTGTCTATTATTAACCAAAAAACTGTGATAATAATTTTCCCCTTTCCGGTTGGGTCAACGATAAGTTTCCAGACTGAAAACGCTAACATCCGGGGTTAGTTTCTCCACAGTGAACAGAGCGCAGATAGGGCATTGTGTAGCTTTGCACTGAAAACAACAACAGCATAATTTTTTTCAACGAACACTATAAAATGTCATTTTAAAGAGTTTGATGACAACACGACAGCACACGGAACTAAATCAGGGCTTATAGTGATTAAATTTCTGAATTATCTTTGATAGAAAACATCAGACAGAAATCTTATAGAAAAATTATAGAACGACAAATTGTTATCTAATTTCGTATCATTTTTAAAAGCTTAAAAATTTACTTACGAACGAGGTGCAAGTAAGCAATTCGTAGTAAGTGAAATAAAGAAACAATTTTAACAGACATCCCAGAAACTTAACCTAACTCTTTCTACTAAATTCCTCGATACCATTTGAACGTTACACTTGATAGAGGTTTTAACTTTAGGTATTTCTGTCATTAACTTAACTGATAATCCAAGTTGATTGATTTCACCCAGTAATTGGGTCGATTTGTGTGAAGGCTTTGAAATCCCCTCCATACATCATGGTTATCTTGAGCTTGTCGTAAAGTGGAGTGAGTCATGTATTGAAAATAGGGTGGTCGTAAACCTAAAAGGAAATAATAGTTGTCAAGCCCACTTTCATTTAGTACAAGCATCTATGAAGCTTTTTCTATTCTAACATTTCTCTTGGTTCTTGCTGGCTTAGGCACATGATTTATAATAAATGTCAATCAATTACTTTTCTATTCTTGAAGCTCTGTTCACTTTCTCTATTAATTTAAGTTCTTTTTTCCGACAGGTGGCGTGGATAAAGGTAGAAACTAAAGCAATACTCTCTATCCATGACCACGTGATTACTCGAAACTACCGCATCAGCCTAAGTCACGTTGACAGCAGGAACTTTGTGCTGCACATCAAGAACGTGAAAGAGTCCGACAGGGGAGGATATATGTGTCAGTTGAATACAGCTCCCATGATGAGCCAAGTTGGCTATCTGGATGTAGTATGTGAGTAAACGGTCAGAGATCACCAAACGGCAATAATTTTGAGACAGTTTCTTAAGTCTTCATATGATATACAACAACTGCTAGAATCATATAAATTTATTTTATCTTATTTGATGGAGAGTTGTTTTTCATTTTTGTCTAATACCTCGCGTGTTCAAGGCAATGTGCGTCAGACTTTTAAATCTGCAAGCTTTATCAAAAGTACATGATCGTTTCGCCCTTTTTACATACGCAAAATATCCCAGTTCTAATGCATCTAGCAATTCATTAGAAACTTTCTTAAAATGACATCAGTATCTTGAAATTTTATGAAGTACTGCAGTTTTCGTTATTCATGCACTCATTTGTAAGGTACCATTACAATAAAAATAAGGAAGACACCTTCTAGTATAGCTAAAATTAATATCATTACACTCCTTTTATACTCTTGTGAATTGGCTTTCACTTCCGAAACAACTCTCTTCTTCACAAATTGATAATCATAGGTTACTGATAAAACAAAGCTTTTCAAAAACTCTTTTCGCTCTAAATGGACCCTTTTGTGAATACTTTTACACAATAATTGTTTAACTATTATTCAGTATTGGCTCATATAAAATTGTTTTTCACCAAAGGTAAATGCAAAATATACGAGGTGACACTAACAGGCGCTGTGGTCTACAATTTGTTTTTTTTTTCCCATTTGTGAATAAAGGTTCTGTTTGCTTTATTTCCTATTGAACAAACAAATTGTTATTCATTACAAAGACATCTTCATGGTAGAACGTTTTTTTTTTTCAGATTATGCTGATAAGTGCTAAGCATAGCTAGTGATTTCTTCAGGAATATAAGGTGCTTTGAATATACTTAGCGTAAAATACCCACTCTCCAGTGCACGGTTCAAAGGCCCCTTTATCATTTACATGGGCCACAATGTAACGATCAAGCTCCTCTTTTTATCTTTCGTGCTTTCGTTAGAGCTAAAATAAAGATCTATATTAACTCCGAAATAGTTTTTTTATTGAACGTATCTAAAAAGTAAGTTGTGGCTGTTAACCACACGAAAAAGCTAATATTTACATTAGTATCATTGCATTGACTTCTTTTAATACTATGCAATTAAATTATAAGAGGGTTGTTGAAGAAAATGTTTTTGAATTAATGCAAACCATCTATAGTTCCTCCACAAATTCAACGAGAGAACACCAGTTCGGATATCATAACCACAGAAGGATCAAATGTAACTTTGACATGTGTTGCTAAAGGATATCCCACGCCAAACATAACGTGGCGACGAGAGGATGGTCAGCCTATAGTATCAATGAACAATGAAGGCCAGTTAGAAAACGGTAAGTGTTAGGTAATATACATCATTCATTATAAAATTCAGTTTGGATGTATGACATCTTCCTTGCTGTCAGTAAAGCCGTATATTGTTATTGAATAGTTAACATTATTACACTTTTAGTCATAAGTTCGATCTTGTATTTCTAAGATTAAACACAGTAAAGTTTCGAAATTATTATGATATTCAGCTTGATATTGTATATATTTCTTTACATTGTGATATATAAACTTAATATCAAGGATTTTGTTACCGCCTTTGTCAAATTTGTCGTTTCAAATTTACTGAGCGGTCTAATTGTTACATTTCTATGTATAATATGAAAAATGTTGCTTGACATCAGTGTTTAATTAAATAGAACTGGAATTTTCAACCTAAAAGGTACATTATGGATAAAAGGCCAGGTCAGAAAACAGCGGAATTAGGTATAGCCGTCACTTATTTTAAATTACTAATCAAAGTGTAGTCCGCTAACCAGGCTCACGCCGCCAAAAGTTCTTTGTCCGACTCAGTGAATTGAAATTGACCGTCACTTTTATAACGAGCCCACAACTGAAAGTGTGAAGTATCTTTAATACATGCAACCAATAAGCCACACCCGCCCATGTTTTATTCAGTTTTTACACCTTCAGTTTAATGTATAAAAAACACTGTTACCAGTAAATCGCTATAAAGAGAAATCATAAGATTTTTCATAACATTTCCCCCCTTTACGTACTTGAAATATAACCTAAGTCTGTATGATATTCACTGAAGAAAAATATCGTAACTTAATGTTCATATGTAGTACATATATTGTATTTAAGACAACACTATATTTTAAGTTCAAAATATTTAATACTGCTGAACATCACAATAAAAAGTTAAATTTATTAAGGGCGTGGCATGGCAGATTTAGGATGTTTCTATGAGTTGACTAGCCAATAAAGTTAATTTTGGCTTGTTGTATTTGTTTACTTTCTACTCATCCACCAATTTTATCGAGTGATTATTAGGCTAATATTAAATTTATATCAAATTCTGGACGTCGCATGGCCACTTAAGGGGCATATATCTCCCAACTCTTTGCTATTTAGTGTACATACGCTATCATTAATAATTATTTTACATTGATTTATCTTTTTCTTTGCCCCTTTCCCACTTGCCAACAAAATTAGGCAGTCATGGGAAATACATAGCTCGATATTCACCAGATTAAAATAGAGCACTGAGTGAAACTCAAAAAGTTTTTATTTCATAATAATGTATTACTTCAATTTATATCATAATTATAAGCGTAATGCATGTATAGTCATAGCTGCTAATAAGCTTCCATAAACTTATGAAAATCTATGTATTATGAGAGGGAAAACTCAAAAAGTTGAATTTAACCTCTAAATATGAACTCATCAATTCAAGCATCATAGTTCTAAGAACAGAAATAAGAAATAAAAACAAGATATAGTCAAAATTTGATTAATACATACATCAGTTCAAGTATTACAAATTTCAGCCATCAGGTTCTTCTAATTTGTATAGATTCTAAAATGGTCGGCGAGAGTTTGTTTCTGATCCGAGTTGACCGACACTACAATGGAGCCTATTTATGTATAGCGATGAACGGCGTGCCTCCTTCAGTCAGCCAACGAATTTTGCTGCAGGTGTACTGTAAGTATTTGGAAAAGAAACTTGTTGGATAATATTGTTTTAATAACTCTTAAAATGACGGATTAAGACAAAAATTTGTGACCAATATATTTTTATTCATCGATTTATAAAAAAAAATCATACACCTTTGAATATTCTTATTCAAATTAAACTTACGTAAAAGTTAAAAGTAAAATTTGGGGTAATAAACACCACAGATTTAATGATGTAAGAAATAAAGAGGTCATTCTCTCGTTAGTGTTAATATTTTTACATCCTGTGAGCATTCGTAAGGTTAGGGAAAAACAAAAACAATAACCACAAAAATATAATGTCAGTTGATACTGTCTTTCCAGACAACCTGAGTTATCAAAGTTAGTAGATTAACATTTCCCTTTTGAGAATTAACTGCCCAATAACATAATTGATAATGTACTGTTGCCTGCTTCAAGTCTCTCGATTTCTCAAACAAATATCGTCTTGGATTAATGATTCAAGTGACTATCAGTAGTTTTCTGGTGTTTGGTAAATACACGATACTTCCTATTTCTAACCTATTTCTCTAGCTTTTAAAGAATACAATACTAGCATCTTTGGAAGCATAAACTATACATAAGTGACGTAAAAAGCAGCAGAAAATATCTGCAATTGACACACGATATTTGACAGTTTTCTAAAAGGCGGTAAAGCACAGAAGAAAAACACGACAAAAATGAATCGCTTTCAAGATGCTGTGTTCAGGAGGATGGTTTAGCCATCACGTGCGTTATTAACAAGCAAGAAAATTAATTGAATGTTGATACTTCGAAAAACGAAGATAAATATAACGATACTAAGCACTTTATCACAAGACTAAAAACAATCTTATAGAATTAAAGGTAATATAAACATAGTGTTATACACGCTACATCCCACATAAAGCTAATAAATAAGCAGGATAATACAAAAGCGATTTTTACACACAGATGGGATGGTATTCAAACTTTAAAATATTTTCAAATATTATTTTTTTATTAAATGATACATAATCCCCGAGAAAACCAATTTATGTATAGGAAAATTTGTTTTAAAGTAACAAGAGTCTCCCAGTTGGCCAGCCAGCGGTAAGTTTATAAACTTACAACGCTAAAATACATGGCTCGATTCCCCGTGTTGGACAAAGCACAGATAGCGTATTGTATACATTTGCGCTCAAACAACAACAAAAAAGAAACAAAATATTTTTGAAATTACTACAGATTGGTCGATATCCATTCATTCTTTATTGCATGCTAATTATATGACTCTCACTGATATTATCATATGATTGGTTATCATGTGAATCGTGTTCGAATAATGTAGAATATCATTAGTGTGCTTTTTCACGCGCCTTATCAATGTGAGCTAAGAATACCGTTTTTTAAAACTCCAAATATTTATTTATTTCTCTCATATTAATATATGTTATAACTTTCAATCTCTAATATGGTGAAACAACTCGTTGAATAAAATTATAACAAAAGTTTTGGAAAACAGAATATACTGTTTCGAATTTAATGAAAGCGAGTGAAAGTTAGGTTTCAAACAGTTGGCTTGTCAGTAGATTTTCCTTGGTAATTGCAAGACAGTTTATTCTATGTTCGTGAATGAGAGAAATGTTCACGAACAAAAGAAAGTTAAATAAATGCTTATTCTTTTATTGTGCTAATAGGGAAGAATGTTAAATAAATGTTTATTTTCCCCAAGTGTATTAAATTGTGTAACCACGATCTTGTTTTGTTCATGTCCTGAATTTTTTAGAAGTTTGGTATAATAGTTATTGGAACATTTATTTTATTTCTATTGTTTGTTATAATGGTTATTAGAACATATATTTTATTTCTAGAGTTTGGTATAATGTTTATTAGAACATATATTTTATTTCTAGAGTTTGGTATAATGTTTATTAGAACATATATTTTATTTCTAGAGTTTGGTATAATGTTTATTAGAACATATATTTTATTTCTAGAGTTTGGTATAATGTTTATTAGAACATATATTTTATTTCTAGAGTTTGATATAATGGTTATTAGAACATTTATTTTATTTCTACAGTTTGGTATAATGGTTATTAGAACATATATTTTATTTCTAGAGTTTGATATAATGGTTATTAGAACATTTATTTTATTTCTATTATATTCCTTTCAATAATAAAGAGCAACTGCAGTTAAGCTATTTTTCGACTAGTTCGGCCTCTTTATATTTAATTCTGTCTACAGCAAATTACGACTCGGATGCTATGTCTTTCTGATGTATCTGTAAAATCCAATTCTTCTTCACATTGCATTCCTTTATTTACAAAACCATGTAAAAGGTTGTAACGGTATATCTGTCATACAACTTCACTGAGAGATTAGTAAGCGAACAAGATATTATTTTGTATGAGTAATAGTACATTAACGTTATGCAATATAAACGTTTTTCCTTAAAAAGTTTTTTTCTGAGATGTACACTTTAAAATTAAAAATTTCTTGATTACATTATTTTGTTAGCTGTATTATTACGGGTACATGTACTGTAAAACAAGTAATTAATATATTTTGTATATATATTAGGCATAATATGTTTTCAGCCAAATGCTTTTAAACTTTTGTATCCTTACGCAGTGATACAAAGTCTTTTATTATGTTTGTTATGTAAAAGTGACGTATAACAAACACGCTTAACTTTAAACGTAAGTAACGGTTAACTAATATTTGTATCAACGCTATGAATTATTATCACAACTACTTAGTTATTGTTGAAAGGTATATTATAAAATATTGATGCAGGAATTTGATAAAGTTGGTTCTCAATAGTTTTAGTTAATTGCTTTTAATAAAATACGCTTACATTTTCTAATAATGGAGGTCAAATGTGATAGAATTGGTTATTTTAGTTAAAATAATACGTCTAAGTTTTGAAAAGATGAAGACGTATATTTTTATCTGTTGGTAGTAAATGTCTTATAAATTTTACTAAAAAATATAAGCAATTTTTAAAATATAAATGTCGGACTGATTTTACCTTTAAGGTTTGAAGCGGTTTCCTCCATAATATAACTTATTTACTGATGACGTAAAAGAGTATTTAAAGTCATGTTTAATTATAAATGTTCTTAAGATGCAAACAGTCACTGTAATCGGTGAGTAATGAAAGTAAAAACTAATATTTCTTCTGGCCATTCCATGCAAAAAAGTTAAACCATGTTGAGTTACCAGAGTCTCCACGATTCTTTGTTACACAAATGACTTCAGGTTCTTTCGGTCATTTCACTTTGATCATTGACGAGAATACTTGCGTTTGGGCCAAAAAATTAGCATTGAGACGAATACGCTTGGTTCACTTTATGTAACCAAAGTTGCTGGCATAAATGCTAACCGGTCTAATTGAAATGCTGGAGTTAAGTTTAGCAATAAATGATTTGCCAATTTCTTCGTTTGAAACCTTTTAAAATTTCAAATAAGGTATTATCTGGAGTTTCATCTTTCTACAGAAATCCTCCCGCCTGAAGGAATCATCATGTTAGTGAAATTCTGTAAGTTAATTGTGTATGGAAATGTAATCATTCTGATATACACACAGCAGGTTCTACATATTTCACTGTAAGCATCATTTTTATATATTTGCGTAATTAAATGTCACAAGTATCATCGAACCGGCACCTTGGGACATGTTATTTGCAGATGACATAGTTCTCATAGATACCACCAGGGAGGAAGTAGAGCAGAAATTGGAGAGATGGAGGAGAGCGATGGAGGACAGAGGACTTAAGGTCAGTAGAGAGAAGACGGAGTATATGGTTTTTAATGGAGAAGAGGAAATGGGGGATGTTACTTTACTTAACGATAAACTTAAAAGGGTAAACACCATTAAGTATCTTGGGTCCTATGTGGTATCAAACGGTACACTCGACTCTGAAATAAGCCATAGAATCCAGTCGTGATGGAGAAATTGGAAAAATGCGTCGGGAGTGCTATGCGACAATAAGATCAGCGCAAGGGTGAAAGGAAAGGTCTATAAAACCGTTGTGAGACCTTCGAAGATGTACGGAGC